CCCAGAACCACACGGGGGGACCTAGTGAATGACCTGCAGAGAGCTGGGACCAAAGTAACAAAGCCTACCATCAGTAACACACTACGCCGCCAGGGACTCAAATCCTGCAGTGCGAGACGTGTCCCCCTGCTTAAGCCAGTACATGTCCAGGCCCGTCTGAAGTTTGCTAGAGTGCATTTGGATGATCCAGAAGAGGATTGGGAGAATGTCATATGGTCAGATGAAACCAAAATATAACTTTTTGATAAAAACTCAACTCGTCGTGTTTGGAGGACAAAGAATGCTGAGTTGCATCCAAAGAACACCATACCTACTGTGAAGCATGGGGGTGGAAACATCATGCTTTGGGGCTGTTTTTCTGCAAAGGGACCAGGACGACTGATCCGTGTAAAGGAAAGAATGAATGGGGCCATGTATCGTGAGATTTTGAGTGAAAACCTCCTTCCATCAGCAAGGGCATTGAAGATGAAACGTGGCTGGGTCTTTCAGCATGACAATGATCCCAAACACACCACCCGGGCAACGAAGGAGTGGCTTCGTAAGAAGCATTTCAAGGTCCTGGAGTGGCCTAGCCAGTCTCCAGATCTCAACCACATAGTAAATCTTTGGAGGGAGTTGAAAGTCCGTGTTGCCCAGCGACAGCCCCAAAACATCACTGCTCTAGAGGAGATCTGCATGGAGGAATGGGCCAAAGTACCAGCAACAGTGTGTGAAAACCTTGTGAAGACTTACAGAAAACGTTTGACCTGTGTCATTGCCAACAAAGGGTATATAACAAAGTATTGAGAAACTTTTGTTATTGACCAAATACTTATTTTCCACCATAATTTGCAAATAAATTCATTAAAAATCCTACAATGTGATTTTCTGGATATTTTTTTCTCATTTTGTCTGTCATAGTTGATGTGTACCTATGATGAAAATTACAGGCCTCTCATCTTTTTAAGTGGGAGAACTTGCACAATTGGTGGCTGACTAAATACTTTTTTTCCCCACTGTAACCTTTCCAATACTGCAAACCGATTGAAGTTGCATGGATGAGGTTATGGTCAGTACTGCATTGTTATCCAAACATCTATTCAGAGAGAGAAACTCCTCAGGAGTGTGTGTGATTTCCCTGTGTTTCTGTAGACACACCATTAGCAATGAAGAGTCCTGTTAACCACCACATATCTACAGTGTGTGTCCTATCAGTAACCAGATATATACAGATAGATTCAGCAGCTGCCAAAGAAGAAAATCAATCCGTCCCATTCTTCCTGTGTCTTCCCAGTCAGCTCAGAGACTTCAGTGTGTCCTATCCAATGTCAGAGACAAACAATCCTTAAGAATCAATCAATTCAGATAACATGTACTTCCACCTCGACTGTAACTGTTAGAGGGTTTTGATAACAATTCTCTCTTTCACTCCATTTCTCTTTCATGGAGTAACCTTTCCAATACTGGTCATTTGCTGTAATTATTCCTTCACCCTATATTTTTCTGCAATTGTCAAACACTCATTTACAAAGTATTTGTTGTTGTTTTGTCTCTTTCAGAACACTAAAGTCAAGTTCAATAGTTTGACAGGCAGTGTTTCCTAAAGCTTACAAGGCAAAGGGGAAATTAAATAATAGGTATTAATCAGAAACAATGTATTTATTAGTGGGTTTCGATCTACTGGGTTTCATCATTGAAATATATGCATTTAAATGCTTTGTCATTTAATCTGTATGAGCTCAAAGTCAGTGTGGAGGTCAGGCGAGGCCTACCTGATTGTCCTCTTTCCAATGTTAAACACGTAAACCAATGGTCAATGGCTTCTTGATGACTGCTTGATGTAGGTGAGGCCATACATCTGAAACTGACATTTACATAGGCCAGTTTTCAGAGTAAATACAGAAAATAGGTAAACAGTGATTGGGGTTTCTTGGTGGATGACCGAAACTTGACTTGAACATCCCACTACAGGTAATTCCACAGACATTTACATAGAAACAATTTTCCGAATGGTAATTTGTTGTAGTGGTGGGTAGTAGTTAGGCCTTGTAGTAGTTGTAGTAGTACACAAGAAAATACAAAACAATATGATCAAAGTTAGACGAAAAGAGCATGTGCAGTGATACTGATGATTTGTCCCACAGATTGTTTGTTTACATAGCAGGTTAGGATAACTAACGTGGCAGTTTAGGATAATTCATGTGGCAGGTTAGGTGAATTAGCGTGGCAGGTTAGGATAATCAAATCAAGTAGCAGTAAAATAACAGTAGCGAGGCTATATACAGGGGGTACCGGTACAGAGTCAATGTGCAGGGGCACAGGTTAGTTGAGGTAATATGTCCATGTAGGTAGAGTTAAAATGACTATGCATAGATAATAAACAGAGAGTAGCAGCAGCGTAAAAGAGGGGGTGGGGGGGAACAATGTAAATAGTCTGGGTAGCCATTTGATTAACTGTTCAGGAGTCTTATGGCTTGGGGGTAGAAGCTGTTAAGAAGCCTTTTGGACCTAGACTTGGCGCTCCTGTACCGCTTGCCGTGCGGTAGCAGAGAGAACAGTCTATGACTAGGGTGGCTGGAGTCTTTGACAATTTTAAGGGTCTTCCTCTGACAACGCCTGGTATAGAGGTCCTGGATGGCAGGAAGCTTGGCCCCAGTGATGTACTGGGCTGTACACACTTCCCTCTTTATTGCCATGCGGTCGGAGGCCGAGCAGTTGCCATACCAGGCAGTGATGCAACCAGTCATGATGCTCTCGATGGTGGAGCTGTATAACTTTTTGAGGATCTGAGGACCCATGCCAAATCTTTTCAGTCTCCTGAGGGAGAATAGGCTTTGTCGTGCCCTCTTCATGTCTGTCTTGGTGTGTTTGGACCATGATAGTTTGTTGGTGATGTGGACACCAAGGAACTTGAAGCTCTCAACCTGCTCCACTACAGCCCTGTCGATGAGAATGGGGGCGTGCTCAATCCTCTTTTTCCTGTAGTCCACAATCATCTCCTTTGTCTTGATCACGTTGAGGGAGACAAAGGACACACGGCCAGGTTTCTGACCTCCTCCCTATAGACTGTCTCATCGTTGTCGGTGATCAGGCCTACCACTGTTGTGTCGTCGGCAAACTTAATGATGGTGTTGGAGTTGTGTCTGGCCATGCAGTCATGGGTGAACAGGGAGTACAGGAGAGGACTGAGCACGCACCCCTGAGGGGCCCCCGTGTTGAGGATCAGCGTGGCAGATGTGTTGTTACCTACCCTTAATGGCGGCCTCCTTTGGCCGCCATTCCTTCCAGTTTTCTGCTGCCAATAACTGGAACGAACTGCAAAAATCTCTGAAGCTGGAGACTCTTATCTCCCTCACTAACTTTAAGCATCAGTTGTCAGAGCAGCTTAATGATCACTGCACCTGTACACAGCCATTCTGAAATTAGCCCACCCAACTACCTCATCCCCATATTGTTATTTATTTTGCTCATTTGCACCCCAGTATCTCTATTTGCACATCTATCATTCCAGTGTTAATATGAAATTGTAACTATTTTGCACTATTGCCTATTTATTGCCTTTCCTCCATAATTTACTACATTCGCACACACTGTATATATATTTTCTGTTGTATTTTTGACTATGTTTTGTTTACCCCATATGTAACTCTGTGTTGTTGTTTTTATCGCACTGCTTTGCTTTATCTTGGCCAGGTCTCAGTTGTAAATGAGAACTTGTTCTCAACTGGCTTACCTGGTTAAATAAAGGTGAAATAAAATAAATTAAGTAAAATAATGAGGTTAAGGTTAGGAAAAGGGTTAGCTACAAATCTAGTTGTCAAAAACTGTTGTCCCCGACTACTCCATTTAGCCACAATGGTGGAAACATAAAACCATCTGTGGTGACAAATCGTCAGTATCATAACAAAGGAAAGGTAGAAACCCCCAAAAGATGTGTAAGACACCTCCCCCTTTCAAATGAAATCGGAATGATTATTTACACAAATAAATTATTTAGCCTCCTGTAGCTCAGTTGGTAGAGCATGGCGCTTGCAACGCCAGGGTTGTGGGTTCGATTCCCATGAGGGGCCAGTATGAAAAATGTATGCACTCACTAACTGTGAGTCGCTCTGGATAAGAGCGTCTGCTAAATGACTAAAATGTAAATTTACAAGCCCATCAGAACTTTCTCGACACAACAGGCTATTACATAATAATTAATCAGTATGTTAAGAATGCAGACACTAATTTCTTATCTCATTTCTAGTTATCTATGTGGTTCTCTCAACTTTAGGCTATCTATCATATTAGCCCATGGTTGAACATACACTGAAGCTACCTCACAGTGCAGAAAAATATACATTTCACCACGCCTGAACTATCTGAAAAAAAGTAGGAGACTGGCTGTAACATCCAATTAGCGGTGTGGTGTTTGTTGCTGCCCACTCAGTTTTAGGTAGTAGGCCTAGTCTAGGCTAAATGTAAACTCGTCCCAGGCTAATTGCGAGTAGGAGGAAGTGTCTGGTGAACGAGATTGCGGTACAAATATTTCCAGGCCTACCTGTCTTTTGTGTGTTACAAAACATTTGCCTAGGTGTTTCTCACGTGAGTACGGTGTTATTGATCATACACTTTCTTCCTTAATGCATGTCGTCCTTGTGCTGTGAACATGTCTTGCCTTTTTTTTCCTGACAATTGTTTGTCTTTTCTGTATCAGCAGCAGCATGCCGTACTGTCAGTCTCCGTGCAGCCAGCACATGACGAGAGAACTTCTACAAGGTAGCCTAACTGATAATGAAAGAATTTAAGAGGGAAACTGATTTGATATTACTTTGTATCAGTTTACGCTTTAGTTTCCCGGAGTCTACTCCCAAACATGGCATCAAGTTCAGCTGCGGGATAAGACGGTCACGTGGGCAGGAATCGCATGCTGGGATATTTACTCGGGGCGGGACCTGCGCGGTTAAAGTCCTATTTTAGCCAATCACAGCCCCTGCGGTGTGACATACGGTTCCCATTCAGCCAATCACAGGCCCCTCCTACAACAAAAAATCTGGCTGTATAAAGTGGTGCGTCCACTCGATATAAATGCATTGGTTGACACACAACAGTAGGGACCTTCATACTTCTACTGCATATTGACAAAACATTAAGTAAGTATTTCTCTAGATCTTACGTTGTTTGTGCAGTATTAGGCCTTTCTTTTTACGCCTGCTACGTTAGGTAAGTCTACTTTGGTTATGGACTTTACCCCTGGCATTTGCTCTTCGTTTGAATGGTTATTAATTTACAATTGTAGCGCTTAGTTTCTTACGTTTTTGTTGCCTGCTATTACCAAACAGTCCATCGACTACCTTCGTGGATATCAACATTACTTGATATAATTTGGAAAAGTATAGCAGTAAAACGTTCCATATAACGTTCTATATATATATATTTTTTTTTTTTAAACTTGAGTCGGGTCCTTTGTGTAACGCTAGAGGGCTTTGTTTTGTTCTCACGAAGGGAACATTGTGTTCAAATGTGTCAGTCTCGACTGTTATCGTTTTATAGGTTGCTATATATATTATAGCGAACCTTTTTAGATTTTTGGAAATGGTGATGTGGGAGATTCGATTTCCTTTTCGATTTCCTCTTGGGCTTTGTCCAAGTTCAGAGAATGATTCAGCGGCTTTGGATCCGCCCGCATCTTGTGATCAGGATCAAGTCAAACTAGGAAAAACAGGAGTGATGCAACCAACCAAGTCACACTTTGCGCAGACTCGGTTTCAGTGTTTGCATACACGGCATTCTAGCTAAGTAACGTTAACGTCAGTTCAGAGGGCTGCAGTATACCATTTGCATAGACTTCAATTAAGGAAATTAGCTAGTTGTTTTAATATGAGTTGTTATGACTTCTGACTAACAGTCTTTATGCTCAACTCTTCCTCGCAGTCTATAGATCTTGTTTTTCCTTTTCTGTTGGTTCTAAACACAACACACACTTAACATGTCAGTCAACCAAGCGGACTTTGGCAATAATCTGAGGGCAATGACGATCTATATATACATGTAGCTTCTTCACACTGAAATACAAGGCTGACAGTTCTTCTCTCCCTTCACAGCTGTTCGGCCATGACGTCACTGTCCTTGGCAGTGTTTGTGCTCTGTGTGAGTGCTGTGTGTGCGGCTCCTAGGTTTGACTCTCAGTTGGAGGACCATTGGCACCTGTGGAAAAACTGGCACAGCAAGAACTACCATGAGGTGGGTGTTATTGAAGCACAAGTAGGGCACCATATCACATCATAATAGCGACTCAAGGTCTTAATGAATGGCTCAAATTCATTATTTGGTGCATTGACAACTGTACATTTCATGTAGGCCTGTATTATTCATTATTGCAAAATGTAGTGACTTATTTTTTTCCCTGGATTGTGTTCGTAGTTCTGGGACAGTATGATTGTATGTCATTCTCTGACCAAGTACACTAATTTCACAGAGAGAGGAGGGCTGGAGAAGGATGGTTTGGGAGAAAAACCTAAAGAAGATTGAGATGCACAACTTGGAACACACCATGGGGAAACACTCCTACCGTCTGGGCATGAACCACTTCGGTGACATGGTAAGAAGAAGCTCCTTGCTGAGACATTTTACTGTGGAGCAGGAGGTACATTTAAGTAGCCTTGTGTTTGCTGTAGCTGAATCTTTTTGCTATCATGCCATGACAGCAAAGTGTCAGCGTTGACAATGAAAGCAGACAGAACGTATTCAGATGGGTTAGGTTTCTTCCACTAGCAGGTTCTGAAGAAACAGAAACAGAATAGTGATCCTGAGAAGGGAACTGAAACTTACTGATCTTTATGGTTCAGTGCATAATTTAAAAAAAATGGTGTGTGTGTCCTTAGACATTGACAACCCCTCAATGTTCCATTCAGATAGTAACTTTAAAAACCCCGGAACACATCTGACCAGGAAAGACCCACATTTCCCCCTGTGTAGCTCAGTTGGTAGAGCATGGCGCTTGCAACGCCAGGGTTGTGGGTTCGATTCCCACGGGGGGCCAGTATGAAAAATGTATGCACTCACTAACTGCAAGTCGCTCTGGATAAGAGCATCTGCTAAATGACTAAAATGTTAAATTTCAACACAACCTTTTTGATTCCTTCCTTCCTAGACCAATGAAGAGTTCCGGCAGACGATGAACGGCTACAAGCAGACGACTGAGAGGAAGTTCAAGGGCTCTCTGTTCATGGAACCCAACTACCTGCAGGCACCTAAAGCTGTTGATTGGAGGGAGAAGGGCTACGTCACTCCCGTCAAGGACCAGGTGAGACCTCAATCACCCATGAGCCATGACTCATTCATAACCATACACAGCTGTGTCACTGAACAAAATTAGACTTTCTGAGGTTTTATTCCAGAGAACTCTGCCTCTTGTTTGTCCGTTAACCCATTCCAAGTTGCCACAAGTTGTGTACACAGGATATTTGTAGTTGCAGTAAATGCATTGCTTACACCCCTACTTTGCTATTACTTAATTATTGCTGCTTTCTTTGATGTGAATAGCTAGCAGATGTATAACAATCTCTGCCTCCCTCCCTCAGGGCTCATGTGGGTCTTGCTGGGCGTTCAGCTGCACCGGGGCCATGGAGGGCCAGCAGTTCAGGAAGACAGGGAAGCTGGTGTCTCTGAGTGAACAGAACCTGGTGGACTGCTCCAGACCGGAGGGCAATGAGGGCTGTAACGGTGGCCTCATGGACCAGGCCTTCCAGTACATCCAGGACAATGCCGGCCTGGACACAGAGGAGTCCTACCCCTACGTCGGCAATGTAAGACCCATTTCTGTTATTTTAGCCTGGTCTCCGATCTATTTTAAGCTGTATAACCAACTCTTATGGTAGTAGTCATGTTTGGCATGACAATAGGAGTCGGCGAGATGGGGCCATAAACTCTGTTTAGAAATCTGGATTTGTTGTTGAGTGAGGTGCTGACTGAGAATTCCATGTTGGGAAAAGTAAATGAAGGTTTCCACTCTTTTTTGTAATGGGATTTAGGCTATTTCAACCAGAATGACTGCATTGCTTGATTCAAAAACTAATAATGACTATTGATCCTCTATTTCCCCAGGATGAGGACCCTTGCCACTACAAGCCAGAGTTCAGTGCTGCCAACGACACTGGCTTCGTGGACATCCCCAGTGGCAAGGAGCATGCTATGATGAAAGCTGTGGCTGCAGTCGGTCCTGTCTCTGTTGCCATCGATGCCGGCCATGAGTCCTTCCAGTTCTATGAGTCTGGTGAGTAGCAAAAAAGCGACGCTATATATATGTGTGTGTGTGTGTGTGTGTGTTACTTCCTCAACTTTATTTAGATTCCCTACCTCCTATTTTTGAGTAGCAGTGAGCTTCACTGGTCCACTGTCCGGTTCACACTGTAGCTAATGCATAGCTCTGTCTTTCAAAACCATCAAGTAAAGTGTTACCAAAGTTTTGTAGTTTTGCCAACTAGCATATTTCGCATTGAGATCAGATGGTTGTACATCCATACGCTGAGGTAAACTCATTTTAGCCCCTCTAATGTAACTATGTCCTCTCCCTCTAGGGATCTACTATGAGAAGGAGTGCAGCAGTGAGGAGTTGGACCATGGCGTTCTAGTGGTGGGATACGGTTTCGAAGGAGAGGATGTGGATGGCAAGAAATACTGGATCGTCAAGAACAGGTACAGAGGTTCATTGCCTTTATTTGAATACAGTGTTGGTCTGATACTATGGTCTATAAGTCATTCATTGCTCTAAAGCGACAGTAAATCTAATGATCATTTCCTACTAACTCCAACAGAGAAGCTAACAGATTGTTTGTCTTTTCCTCAGCTGGAGCGAGAAGTGGGGAGACAAAGGCTACATCTACATGGCCAAAGACAGGAAGAACCACTGTGGTATCGCCACGGCAGCCAGCTACCCACTGGTGTAGTGTTTTTAGAACCAGGAGGTGTTCTAGAGTTTTATAAATGTTCAGAAAGGGCCATGATGACTACAGCGCTGCCTTATTAAGTCTGTGAAAGGCACTAGTGAAACCTTCTGCATGGGTTTTAAAGAAACACAGTTTTAGGGAATCTATGAAATTCTACCCATTTTTGTTTTATACTTGATTGTGTGTGTAATACACATATATATAGTTAGTTATAGTTGAGTCAAGTAAATGTTACAGGTGTAACCTCTGTGTACATTCCTAGTTTACTGCTTTTACACCTGTTCTGTAAAAATGTTGTACATACATATGAGCAAAATAAACCTCTTTTTAAAATTGATTTGTTGTTGAGGTACTAATCAACTTTACATGGCAAACTACAACATTGGTAATGGTCGGCTAATCCCATCCTAATTGTAAAGAAACTACCAATAGAATGTCAATGGTGTTTTTGTGCGCTTAGGTCAATGATGTCACTGTTTGAGTTAGTCCTAGTCATTTAACTTGGTTTACTGCACTGCACACAGCCATTTTTGTCAGTATTATAAGCCATATTTCCCCCACCCCTTGTGAACACACACAACCCCCCCCCCCCCCACTGAAAACCGTTTGTATTCCAGATCAGGAAAAACCTTGAATGAAGGTATATATTGACAGTTAACATTTTATACCTACAGTACAGCAGGAGTTAGTGTGTACCTCTATAAGCTGTTTGCTTGTGTGTGTGTGTCTCAGAGCAGATAAGCTGAACAGGACCTCTGAACAGCCTCTCCCTTTAGAGGAGAAAGTCCTCGTGGCTCAGATAAGACCAGCTCTAGCCTGGTGGGTTCCAAAATAACTAACTGGTTAAAACTCTGGCTACAGACACAGTAACCTTTGTGTCATAGGAAAAGAACACTGTCCAATCACGTCAGAGGGATTGTGGCTTGATGACTGGTAGTTGTTTGTTAGACATTTGTGGGTACTGTATTTGGTATGTGTAGCTTGGTCCCAATTTAAAGGGAATGCACTGTCATCCTATTTCCCAGATAAAATTGACTTAGTTACAAAAAATAGAAGGAGAAAACTAACCCTATTTCTCATCTGTGACTATCAGTGAGGCTGTATGCTTGGATTAGTGGGGGGGGGGAGGGGGAGGGGAGGGGGGGGGGGGGGGGGAGGGACAGACAATATAAGCAAACAAGAAAATGCTCGTCCAGAAGCGGTGCTCCTAGTGGCCGGTGATTTTAATGCAGGAAAACTGTAATCCGTTTAACCTAATTTCTACCAGCATGTCACCTGTGAAACTAGAGGTGAAAAAACTATCACCTTTACTCCAAACACAGAAATGCATGCACATCTGACCATAACTTTATCCTCCTGATTCCTGCTTACAACCAAAAACTCAAACAGGAAGTACCAGTGATGCGCTCAATACAGAAGTGGTCCGATGAAAAGGATGCTTAGCTACAGGAGTGTTTTGCTAGCGCAAACTGGAAGATGTTCTGGGAATGCATCCGATAGGATTGAGGTTACCACATCAGTCACCGGCTTCATTAATAAGTGCATCGACGACGTCGTCCCCACAGTGACCGTACGTACATATCCCAACCAGAAGCCATGAATTACAGGCAACATCCACACTGAGCTAAAGGCTAGAGCTGACGCTTTCAAGGAGTGGCACACTAATCCGGACGCTTATAAGATATCCTGCTACGCCCTCTGACGAACCATCAATACAGGACTAAGATTGAATCCTACTACACCAGCTCTGACGCTCGTCGGATGAGGCAAGGCTTGCAAACTATCACAGAGTACAAAGGGAATCCCAGCCACGAGCTGCCCAGTAATGCAAGCCTACCAGATGAGTTAAATGCCTTCTATTCTTGCTTCGAGGCAAGCAACACTGATCCATGCATGAGAGCACCAGTTGTTCCGGGCGACTGTGTGATTACGCTCTCCGTAGCCGATGCAAGACCTTTAAACAGGTTAACATTCACAAGACGAATTACCAGGACGCGTACTCAGAGCATGCGCTGACCAGCTGGCAAGTGTCTTCCCTGACATTTTCAACCTCTCCCTGTAATAATACCTACAGGTTTCAAGCAGACCACCATAGTCCCTGTGCCCAAGAACACCAAGCTAACCTGTCTAAATGACGTTTACGTTTACGTGCCCCATAGCACTCACATCTGTAGCCATGAAATGCTTTGAAAGGCTGTTCATGACTCACATGGCTGCAAATTGACCACAAGAAGCCCAAACAGATATAATGTTTGACTAAAACGTAATCATTTCAAACCTTGCTTACATTTGTATACAATCACGTGTCTCTCTACTATGCGTGGGAATACTTGGGAACAGATTTCTTAAATTAAAATCACTTGGAGCTGATTTCCTGGTGTTTTTACAGTGTCCAACAATGTCCAACAATAAAAATACATTTAAAAATGAATAATAATACTCAGCCCCGCAGGCCACTAGTTGGGGAACCCTGGATTAGGGCCCAATGAATTTATTTCAATTGACTGATTTCCTTATATGAACTGTAAATTGTTCCATGTTACGTTTATATTTTTGTTCAGTGTAACTACTTGCCGACATTAATTGATTGTTTGAACTTCTCCTCCAGATGTTCCGGTGGTCACTGGCACTGCCAAACTAGCCCACCGGCACTGCTGCAGAAAACCTTTGCTGTATGGAAGTCCCTAAGGTGCGTTTGTATGCAATAGTCTATACTATTATTGATTTAATGTGAAATAGATGTCATTATAAACTGAGTGGCCTATAAATGTATAATATTTTCCACAGGTTACCAGAAGGTGCAACAAGTTCCCTGACGTCCCCAACTACTTGATTAATATTTGTTTAGAAATACTATGCCTCAAGTCATTTTCTCTATAAAATGCCCTAATGGAGCTGATCATAGGACCGTTGGATATCAAACAGCAGAAATAAACTAGCTTTTACTTCAATTTATTTGTGACTACTTACGGATTAATTTCATTTAGCCTACATCCCACCAATACACATTTCTGTATTTTTATACTGTATCAAGGAAAACACTAGATCCAAAAATAGCTCTGTCTGTTCGGTTAATGACAACAAAAATTACATACACATATTTATTTAAGTACTGTATGCGCATAATCATACCCTGCCATCACCTTTGTCTTGAGATGTCTTGAGACGTGCAATTGAGACGTCTCAAGACACTCAATGCTATATCTTGAGATATTTTATGTGTGTCTTGAAGACATGTCTCAAAACACTAATGCCATGTCTTGAAGAAATGCAACGTAACGTGACATTAAGGCTATGTCAGACATGCTGTTTAATTATTTATTTAACTATACTGCAATAATTGAATGTAAATATGCAATAAAGTGTGTACATGCAATCACAGAAAGGTCACTTTCTCTAATCAGCTGTCTTCCTATCACATAGGCTCATTCTATTTTCAGACTGGACATACAATAAAGCTGGGGTCCTATCTGGTGTCAAACATTTAGCCCTCACGGACGATACGGCTTTCTGCTTCAGGTGAGCTATTCATAATTAAAGTACAAGAAAATAGCAGGATAAATGTGATATTGTTATTGCTGAATTTATGATATGATACCTAATGGCATTTTATTTCCCAAAAGATTAAGGAGGAGCAGCTCTGAGATCTGAGATCTCCAAACAAGAGATTACTATCTGGCTGTAAAGACTTAAAGATGGGCGTTGTTTGGAGCTCTATACCACCTTTACCACAAGTTATTTTGTTGCATCATTCTAAAATTGTTATTTGGTCAATAGATTTTGATTTGGTGTGCAGTACAATTTGTGCTATGAATGTGCATGAGAGTTCTAGAGTGAATAAGTAGTATTAATAACTAATAAAAGATGAAAACAACAATACATTTAAAAAAAATTCCAGAGACGTCTTCAGACGGATGTCTCAAGACATTGGTATTTCCAAGACATGTCTTAAGAGGTCTCAAGACATGTCTCAAGATGTCTCAAGACACAGTGATGGCTGGGTTATGAAATATATACAAATATACAGTTGATTTGTATATGGTGTCTGTTTAGCCAACATTCCACTCCTTGAACTCTGTATCATTGCAAAACATATTTGAAACATGACACGGAGTACAAGTAGTGGAATGTTAGCTAAACAGACTGGTACCCGGGCTAGGTGTATGACCTTTTTTTGGGAAACGTATCGCCTTGTGCCCCCCTGGCAGGTGCTGATAATTTAGCATTGGCTCAGTTGTTCTCTTCTGGTGTTACTAGTAGAGATAGAAAAGGAAGTGAGACATCCTACTCGTGGGGCACTTCCAAATGTTTTCTGTTTCAATGGAGGTCAATGAGCTGCTATCGCATTGGTGGCTATGGGAGAGCCACCCCCTTAAGTAGACTGGAACTGACATACTGGCAGGTTATGTAGCGCGAGAAGGCTGCACGGTACGTTGAACAGAGTTTGTTGACCAGAGTGTATACCAGAGGCTGAGGAGATGTAGCCACCAACACGCTCAGCAGCCCCCCCCCCATCACCCCCGGGTCACAGTTCACAGGATCACGCACCACCGCAAGTACATTGGTAATGACAAAGGGACAAAACATGACCATAAACAGGAAGAAGACCAAGCCCAGGACCTTGGAGGCCTTCTGCCCTGCCGACCCCTCCTCCTACCCCTCCTGTGTCACGGCTTAGTGAACGCCTGAAGAAGACCTTCTGTAAGGAGAGTGAGAACCTGAGGGAAGAAGCCCAGGGTCAGGGTGGCACTCCACTTGGGCCGGGGCACCAGCTGGTCCAGGCAGATGGTAGCGTCAGTCTGCAGGGCGTTGATGGTGAGGAAGTAGGTGACCACCATGAGGGTGAGGGGGATGAAGAAGGCCACGAAGGAGCCCACCAGGACGAAACTGTCATCTGTCAGCAGGCAGCTGCCATCTTTGAACACCTTGGTGTGGTCCCACAGGCCTAGGACGAGAGACACAGAGAAGAGAGAGAGGTTCGTTTAGTGTGAGGTTTGTGTGTGTCTGTGTGCATCACTTCTTAATTAATCATCTTGGTCATAAACAGACGTTTAAACATGGAACGATTAGTCAGTGCATTGGAAACTAACATACGCCATCTCTTCTGGTGCCTATGGTGGACCAACCCATAGAGCCCAGAGTTTTCACTTTCACCCTGCATCACTGAAGCGGGACACAAATCCAGCGATGGCTTCCTCCTTGTCAGGTCTCTCGTACTGGGCACACAGGGGTTCTGTGATGGCGAGCTCACACACCTCCTCCACATACAGATCAGGGGTGACCTCACTGAAGAGGAGATCCAGCAGCCTGTCTATCTAGCCGGTAATGTTTGTGAAA